GTGTGTGTGACTGAGTGTGTGTGAGAGGACTCACAGTAGGCGCAGAGCGGAGAGCCCGTGGAAGGTGTCCCTGTCGATCTGTTGGATGCGGTTGTGCTGAAAGCTTCTGCAGATTGAAACAGAAGAACTGAACGTATTCTAAAGAAGCACGTTTTCCTTCAGCGCCTTCATGGTTTCTGACTTTAACATCACAAACATATTTTAAAGTTGAGAGAGAAGCTATCTCTAAGCTTCACCATTCCTGTCTGAAAGGACTTTACTCACATCTCCTGCAGCCGCATGCAGCCGTGGAAGGACGGCAGCAGCTCGATCTGGTTGTAGGACAGGTCTCTGGTGGAGGAGAACACACAGCTTCAACAGCCAGACAACTGGGACGGATTCAAATGGAGGCATGAAGACAAAAGGCTGGCTGCTGCACTCTTCTGTAACTGGCCTGCAGATCATTTCTCTGTATCTGATGTGTGCACGTCCTAAAGTCCACATGTTAACATGAATGGGATTCTCAGTTGTGTCTGTGGTGACGTCCAAACCAGAGTTTACCCATCGTGTTCCACCTGTGCACTTCCCTGTGATCTAAACACATCAGCAGGTACGCTCATGCCTACAGGTTGTGCTCTAAGTGCTACTTCTGCTTGTGGAAAAACGTCTTACAGCGTCCGCAGCAGCTTGAGATCCTCACACAGATCGCTGGGTATGGAGGATATCTTCGTTCCTGACAGGGTCCTGGAGATGAAAGACCAAAGCAGTCACTCATGAGACACATAAAAGCACAGGCAGGAAAAGACGCTGCATCAAAGTTTACTCACAGACTCTCCAGATTATTTGTCCAAGTAAGGATGGGAAAGTCCTGCATCATGCTGGCCCCACGCAACATCCTGAGACGCACATGATGGACGGTGAGATCAGAAACATCAGAGCACGAGCCAGTCGGGACCAAACCACACACAAGAACTCTTCAGAATGCATTTAAACAGCTTTATAAGATAATTAGATCAGCAGTGCCTTCAGCAGTTCAGGCAGAACTGTGGTGTCTGGCTGCGGGACTTACAGCGAGTGCAGGTCAGAGAGATTCTGGAAAGCTGAAGCGCCCACAAACGACAGCGGGTTGTCATACAGATGTCTGGAGGGCAGAGAGAGCACAGGGGGACAGTTCAGAGCTGAATGATTCACTCTGCGAGAATGGCACCCTCTTCTGGACATTCGTCTTCTCAAGTGTGTGTCCTGTATCGGCTCTTATCCGAGCGCTGTGCACGGCGGTGTTTGTGTGCATATGAGTCACTGGTGTGCCATGCGTGTTTCTAAGCAGTCTGTGGGGGAATCAGAGGGGAGGTTGACCTTACATGGTGCGCAGCAGGGGGTTGTTATGAAAGGCCCCTTCCGGTATGGAGCCGATATCGTTGCTGTGAAAGCCGCTGCAGGAAGAAGGTCAAGGAGACAGCGTGAAAACATGTTCCTCAATACGACACCTCACACACAGGTGAGCTCATCTGATACATGCACATCCAAACATTTAACAGAGAACTAAGTGCAGGGACACAGACAGCTCAACCACATGAAGCAGCTGACTCTCAGCGTCTTCTCAGTTTACTAAACATGTGCTGCACAGGACTTCAGCTTCTTTCTATTGAACCATCACATCAGTAGGAGCTCACCCTAACCCATAAATACCAGCATTATGGTGAATCTGATCCATGCTGTCTACTCATGTGTTTGGATGTAAAGCGATGCAACTTGAACTTCTAACAGCTCACTGAGATCCTCCAGCGATGAGGACGGGTCATGAACCGGTGCTCTCCTTTACATGTGTGCTCTTGTTCTCCTCTGATCAACTCAAAGCTTCTTTATCTTTTCTCAGTTCCATCAAAGACAATGAAAACCTGCAAAATCAGAAGCAGCCGCTGAAGGCCGTGCCTGTGGATCAGGAGCACGGCAGCATACTCACAGCTCCTTCAGTTTGGGCAGGGCCTCGATCGCTCTGGGGAAAACCATCAGGTTGTTGAAGTTAAGATCTCTAGACAGACAGAGACACAGGAAGTCAGTGTGGTGCTCTTCCATCCCTCTGTGCTCGCTCATCGATGGTACGTTCAAACCAGAATGTCAACAGTTAGGCTTGAACACAGGAGGGTTCAGTTACCACCACTACGGACTGAGAACCAGGCTTACTGCTGAGGCTACCGGGCTCATAACACAGCATGTACTGGAAATACAACGCCCAAGGATTCACTGGTCCAGCAGAAACAACCAATAAAGGACAAGTACAAAGATATTCTATATCATACATCATCCTAATAACTGATCTGCAGTAGAAGAGCACCACAAAACACACCATAACACATACATACAGAAAACATGTAAAGCCTGAATGTGTTGGAATACGTTGTGCTGCAGGTGGTCATTATTATTTCTGTTTATTAGTGGATGTCCAGAGGAGTGAGACTGCTCTCAGGTCTTCACATGGTCTGTCTGAAATATTCAATGAAAGAAACCAAGAGACAGAAGATCCTACAGCCTGAGGAGCCAGAGAGGGATGTTCTGTTCAATAAAATCATCTTAATTCATCACAGTCCTTCACCGTATAAATGAAGTACAAGTACATGAGCGGAAGGCTAATCTGTGAGCATCCATGCTAACAGCACAAGGCCCAGCACCGTTCTAGGTTAAAGGAAGACGGTGCTTGCTCCCAAACTACTGCTGTAACTGGAACATCAGTGTTCTGGGAGTCTGCTGAAGAGCTCCAGTATAATTCAGGACGACAAGTGTCCATTCAATACATTATTATGTCAGAACTGTAAACAAGGGAGCAGCTGGAAGAAACAGACAGAACAGAAAAGGACAGAATAGAAATGGATAGAACCTCCCCAGTAGCTGTCTGCCATTAGGCAGTGCTGTCACTGAGAGGCCTGGCGTGGCTGTGAGGCAGGAGGAAGTGAGCAGTGGGAGGGCAGATACGATAAGCATCATGTACTTTGCTCTATTTATCCTACAGCAATTAAAGGAGGAAGTGGACACAATGATGTCTGGAGGACTGGAGCAGAGGTGGGTGGGGGAACGTTAGCGCACACAAACATGAGCACACACACACACACACACACACACACACACACACACACACACGAGTCCTGTACAACTGAGCACTTACAGCGTCTCCAAGTTGACGAGTCCAGCAAAGCAGTTGTCTCCTATCTCCTTAATTCTGTTGTTGTGAAGATGCCTGGAGAAGTAAAAGCAGACGTGTGCGTCAGGTCTTCACACGACAACAGACAGAGAATCATCGTTCACATTCATCGTGGGTTTTAATCCAGTCGGAGTTTTTCATCTCCACTTCCACAAATAATTTATGTTCCTCCTGTGACCTGAGCTAGGTGTTTGTGCTGTGTGTGTATAAGCAGAAGGCCTCTGCCTAATAGATGCGAGCTCCTTCCTTCCTGTTTATTCCACCGTGTTTATACTAACCCTGCAGCAATACCACTCCGTGTGCGTGCGCTCGCGTGTGTGTTTGTGAGAATGTATAACAGCAGCAGTGGAGGGAAAAAAACAAAAAATGCAAGTTTGGAACAATCCTCCACGCTGCTAATGCGCCACATATCAGCACCAGGCTCCTGCCATGGACGCTTCAGCTTCTCCTGCACACTCAGAACAGCTCGATGGTCCTGATCGTACGCTGCTGCTGCTCAGAGCTGAGGCAGGAACTTTTTCAAAATTCCATTAACATTCAAATTCAAACCCCAACAGCACATTTCAGTGGAAAAGTGGCTGCATGCAGAAGCACAGCGGGGCGCCGGTACGCGGCCGATTTGTTGACTTATTAACTGTAAGCTGTGCAAATAAATACTACAGTATGTTTGTGTTTGGAATCTGATTTGCAGTCGCTCTGAGGATGCATTCAGAGCTGAGCACAAGGAGAGGCACTCGGCATTGATTTGTGGTGACAGAATAATGCTGGTGATATATGAAAACCCAACAGGAACTGCAGCTTCTTTGATTCAGACGTGAGCACAAGCAGCACATTTTACCCACTAAATGTTAATCTGCCGGTCGGATAGAGGGCAGATGTTTAGGTGAGTTCATTACAAACACATCTGATTGAAAGGTCCAAGACATGAAACTGTGCTGTGGACTAGATCCACACTGGACTGATACGTGTTGGCATTTGGACTCGAGAAACATCCTGATCTTGTTAACATCCAAAGATCTTCACTTCTGCAGCTACTCCCTCAGGTCATGTTAGCAAACATGAGAATGTTCTCAGTCAGTGCGTCGGCTTAATTAGGGGTTCAGAAAGTACACCAGCAGGTTGTTCCTGCTGTGCTGTTTTGCATGTAGGTCTATGAGGACCGCACAGTTCTCCTGGCTGTCCTGGGGAGGTTGACTGTAATGACTGTTTACAACCACTAATACTCTACTTTTCAGATAACTTCTCACTAAAAGCTTTGCCTACGCTGCCACACAGGACTGCTTTCAGCTTTATATGAACAATCAAGGAATTCTGTTGTAATCAGTCCATCTTTGTTCACGGTGCGGTTCCGGCCCACGTGAAGGAACATTACAGTAATATTCCGTCAACGTTTGCGTGTCGACACGACGGTGCAGATTTTCCTTCTAATCCACAATTAGAATAGAAGCTTAATATAACTCACAGCACAACAAGACTGGTGAGATTTGCAAAGGCGTTGTCTGGTATGTAGAGGATGCGGTTGAGTGCCAGAGTCAGAGCCTGAAGGTTGGCCTGGTGTCTCAGGGAGCTGATGGGCACCTCCGTCAGGTTGTTGTCGTCCAACCAGAGGTGGCGCAGCTGCTGAAGGTCTTCAAAACTGTCATCTGGCACCGCTGTGATGTGGTTTGCATCCAGACGTCTACAGGACAGAGAAACACAATTAAGACCACTGATTCATTAACTGTGAGACATTTGGGACGGCCATAAACATCCAGAAGGCCACACAGTAGAGCAAAACTATTCTATCATTTACCTCCATGAATGACTTCTAACATGTACTGACAGCTGCAGTTCAACACTGAACGTTCCTGACAACCTATGACAACGTTTTCACTCTAATTTCCTTGATAATAATAACTGATCAGATTTATTCAGCGCTTTTCGACACTCAAACACGCTTCACACTGTCAGTTATTCACCCCGGGGGTGGTAGCTACAGCTGCCCTGGGGCAGACTGACAGAGGCCTGGCTGCCATTCTGCCCTCCGACCACCTCAACAATCCATCCATACGCATCCACACCAGGCAGGTGGGGAAGTGTCACACAACGACCATGACACAGGCTGCAGGGCGGAATCGAACCGCCGACCTTCCATTGACCGACCCGCTCAACCAGCTGAGCCACAGCCGCCCTTAACTCGTCGCTCTTCGACATCAGGATCCTGGTGGTGTCAGAAGCGAGCTGCCTGTCCCACTATGTTCCTGCAGCCCTTTCTACAGGACCTGAGGCGTCCCCAGTGCCTTCAGCCAGTCTTGGAGGATGACCACAGGCTAATTCCCACGGCACTTCTTCACCGGCGGTTCAAGTCTTCAGAGAACAGCGAGGACCTGCTGTGGCGGTGTGGACCTACTCCACCCATGCGCTCCATCTAGAACACCGCTAAAGAGAGCCACCTCATTTGGCGTTCACCATCACATCGATCCTATATTTGTGACAGCAGCTCCACTCCCTGTTTGCCAGCACTACTGCAGCGGTCTGCCTAGCGCCGTGTTTTGATCACCTTTGACAAATGGCGACACCTGAACTTCTTCACTTCTTTAACACACACACACACTCGTGATTAGCAGGATGTATGAATCATTCTAATGTAGTCACGTACATTCATTTGTTCTTGCTGGTTTGTTCATGAAGGTGAACTACACAGTGGAGCAGTACTCTCAGGTTTCAGGCCGTGGATATCCAGCGTATGAGAGCTCCCAATGGACAGTAATTTACTGGAGCGCCGACCCCAGAAAACAGATGAAATTCCGATCACTAATAGTTTGGTGGTAAGAAAAATAAACTGTTTTTTCATTAAGCAGTAATATGAATGCACAAGTGTTCCTTTCACCATCACCTCGCCGCCTGCTGCTGCTATCCTCCCTAACCCAGTCTCACCCTCCCTCAAAATTCCTCAAATGTCTGGGCTGGAAGAAAAACAGTCTTGATTGACGTTTAGCTCTCTAAGGCTTAATGCAAACCGAGTCCTTCCTCTGCCAAAGTCTATCACTTCAGCTACAGACCCTACAACCCTCACAGAGTACAGACATCTGCTAAAAGGAAAGAGGACGACAGCAGCGAAGGACCAGGGAGGGATACAGGCAGCGATAACAGCTCAGAGTTGAATTTTCAGCACGTTTGTCCAGCTGCATCCATCCCTTCATCTGTCCCTGTCAAAGTCTACAGCGACGGAGGGAGGACGCATAAATAAAACCATGGACATGTCACGGCTTCAACGAAGCCGACGTTTAGCAGAAACACAATACGACACACGAGATCAAGTGGAGCGGGAGCTAGTGAGGGGCTGGCGTTGGATGGAAACACGCTCTGGAAAAGTCAACAAACAAACATAAGGCGATAAAAGTTTGTCACAGACCTGCTGAATGAGGCTGACCTACATCTGCTGGAGCTGGGCTCTGCTCGGCAAACACAGCAGGAGACAAGCATGAGCTGTGAATGAAATCAGCCCTACATCACATCAGCGTACACACCCGAGCTGCTGGACTGGATGTGGAGCTGATCACATCTACAGCAGTTTAACATTTAACTTAGTGTGAATGTAAAGTCACACATGAACAGGGGTTTCTGAACCATCAGCGATGATCTGCTGTGAACTCTGGTATCAGCTCTGCAGGAAAGCAGATGTTTGACCAAACCGCAGCACAATAAAGGTCCGTGTTTCTAGTGCCATCTTTGATTTTAAATAAACTTTATAGCATGGAGCACAAAATGGATTTTCAAGCGTATTCGACTTGAAGCGTACAAGCTGGTTAGCAGGTGTGTAAGGTTATCCCACACACACACTGTCACCATGTTGGTTCAGGGGTTTATCATCCTAACACTCATCAGCACTGAACACAGGAGAGCCCGAGGTCAACCAGAACCTCTTCAGACATTTCCCTCAAAGCTACGAAAACCGTTCAGACTCAGGAATGTCTGTAAGGAACAGAAGCACCATCAGCCCAGCAGTAGCTCAGATATGTTCCTCTGGACCAAAAGGGGGAATCGATTCAGCGGTAGTAGCTACAACAAGAATTTCAACAGAACCCAGCACAGCGTCATGTGACAGGCCAGGTCCTGACATCAGCTGGACAACATCAGCCTGAAAACTCCACTGCAGGCCCGATTTGCATGCATTTGTTTAGCAAATGCTCTGCACCCAACGGTGAGATCTTTACATACATGAGCAGATAAACTGTTCTGCAGCTCTACTGCTGCCGTTTCTTTGCTATTATCTTTGTGAGGAACCGTCTAGAACGGGTTTGTTGGTTTGGGACAAGCACACTGAATTCTGAGCAAATACACCAACAGGGCTTCTTCTGACAGGAGCCAAGATGACTGCAGCGTACCTTCCTGTCCACATATTCAGGATAAATACTGTTCTCATTAAGTGCAACCTGGAGAGAAAACACTTCTCATAGAACTCAGCAGGTCCGGTGTTCTGGACTGAGACGGTTACAGCAGAGCGGTTTAAACGTGAATGACTCTGTGTTTGCAGCAACACCACCATCTTTTCAGAACTTAAATGTTCTATCAGCCAAATAAAAAAAAGAAGGAATGTTTGAGTCTAGCACTGAGGCTCCAGGTCCTCCTCAGTGCTGGGACCACGCTCTGATCAGCACGGTGGCAAACGCTAGAATTCCTGCAGCAGCTCTGAGTGCTTCCTTTGTGGGGTGAACGCAGGACAGGAAAGGCCACTTGAAACTGAAAGGCTTTCTGAGCAGACAATAACCCCACGTGCCTATGCATGCATGCATGTGTGTGTGTGTCTGTTCTTGCCAGTGACTTACAGCGACTGCAGAGAGTGAAGGTTCTTCAGGGCTGCACTGGGCACCGTCTTCAGCTGATTATTCTGGAGCATCCTGAGGGGAAAATTACAAAATAATCGTGATTCAACTCAAGTCATGACAATCCTCTATCCAATGCCAACTATGTCAGTGAGCTCTGTGTGTGTGTTGACGCGGCCCGACACTAGCAGACACTTCAGTTTGTAGAACAAACGCAGGAAACTCCAGCAAGCTGGAGACGATCGGTGAAGCCTCCCACAAACCGTTGCCAAGGTGATGGAAAAACTTTGAACAGAGCTGTGTAGGTATCTAACGATCACTTTCATGAGTCAGGTTCATTAGCAGAAGGTAGAAGTGTGTGTGCTTATCCAGTTTGAAGGCCGAACACTTCCATTTGTTTTCATGTGCAGTTAAACATGAACAAATCACTTGATATGATGTTTTCAGTGCTGTGCTGAGGCCTCACCTGTAGATCAACAGGACTTTGGACTTTTGGCTCAGTGTACAATCAACAAGACAGAGTTTGTGTTGCTCAGCGTGTCCGACTTTGTGCTAGCACACAAGGGTGTGCTGCCCGACGTGAATGATGCAGAGGTAGTTTATAGCAGAGCCTGTATGCGACTCTGTGCTGGAGGCAGGAATGGAAAAGTGCATTTGGTCTGCTCCAAGAGGATGTGTAGGGTGGCAGTAACTGACAGCAGCACGATGTGACCACAAACTGCAGTATTTACTCTGTCCCCCAGTGCGTGAAAAGTTCACGCCGTCGCAGCCCAAAGCGTGTGTGTGCATGTGTGTGTTGACATTGGCAGCAGGGTGTGTGCTTACAGGACTTTGAGCTGGTGCAGTCCAGACAGGGCTTCAGGGTGGATGAATGACAGGTCGTTCCCCGCAAGTCGTCTGTGGGAGACAAAGAGTCCAGCATGGATTTAGACATTTCAGAGAGAAAGGAGCGCAGAGCATCACAACTACAGGCTGCATGTTGTCCCTGAATAAAGCAATGCAGCAGGTTATGGACTTCTTCCCAACCAGCATCTCAGTGGATTAGGTTCCAGCTCTTGAGCTAAACATGAGGCCTGGGGTGTCAAAGACATGAGTCTGTGCCATGGCCTGTTGTCACTTCGTCTGTCACCCGAGAGAGATTAGAGCTGTTCCTGGACATCGCCTTCTCAGATCCCTTCCTGAGCCCCCCAACCATCACCATTAAGTGCTCTCTTTACAGGGAGTGAAAAACAACTCGCCTCTCTGCGGCCAACACAACCAGTCAGTGAATATAACCTTTTTTTTCCACCTAAACAGCCTTGCCTTGTATCAGCAGACAGCTGCTTCAGTCCCCGTATGAATTATTTGAGGCAGAGGGGACGCCTCCCTTTCCTGTTGGGAACAGGAAGTGTATAGGAAGCAGGGGTGTAAATAAGCATGGGACAGACTGGCTGGGACACAGAACCCAAGTATACTATCTGGCCTGCGAGATTAGCAACAGATTTATCACTCTGCAACGTGAGTCAGGCCCGGCTGAATTCCCTGCAACAGGAGCTGCTGGGTGTGAGCCTGAGAACCAAGGCTGACTGTGGCAGAAGACGACTTGTCTGCTATGTAGACTGAAAACCGCTCTTTGGTTTGTGTACCATGAATTTCGCTGACTCAGAGAGCTGAGGGCTGCACTACGAAGCCAGATCAGTGGGTTAGCGAGGTATGTGGAGCTTAAAGCCAGAGTTCTCAGTGTCACCAAGGTGGCTCTCTTTTAACCTGGCGAGGTCTCCATGGTGACTGAAGCTGTGGAGCTAGGTCTCCATGGTGACTGA